TTTTACGAGGCCCACATGACCCTGATACCAAAACCAGACAAGGACACCACAAGAAAAGAAAATTATAGGCCAATCTCTCTCTCTCTTTTTTTTTTTAAAGATTTTATTTATTTATTTATTAGAGAGCAAGAGAGAGAGAAACAGCATGAGAGGGGACAGGGTCAGAGGGAGAAGCAGGCTCCCTGCCAGGCCAGGAGCCTGATGCGGGACTTGATCCCAGGACTCCGGGATCATGACCTGAGCCGAAGGCAGCCGCCCAACCAACTGAGCCACCCAGGCGCCCCTAAGCCAATATCTCTTATGAACATAAATGCAAAAATCCTCAACAAAATATTAGCAAACTGAATTCAACAATACATTACAAGGATTATACACCATAATGAAGTGGGATTTACATCAGGGATGCAAGGATGATTCAACATTGGCAAATCAATCAACATGATATACCACATTAACAAAGTGAAGGATAAAAAATCATATGATCATTTCAACAGATGCAGAAAAAAGCATGTGACAAAATTCAATATCCATTATGATAAAAACTCATGATAAAGTAGGTATAGAGGGAACATATATCAACACAATAAAGGTCATATATAACAAGCCCACAGCTAACATCATACTCAACAGTGAAAAGGTTAAAGCTTTTCCTCTAGAATCAGAAATGAGGGAAGGATACGTACCTTCGCCACTTTTATTCAACATAGTATTGGAAATCCTAACCAGAGTAATTAGGCAAGATAAAGAAATAAAAGGCATCCAAATTGGTGAAGAAGTAAAACTGTCACTATTAGCAGATGACATGATATCATATGTAGAAAACCCCAAAGACTCCATCAAAAAACTGCCAGAACTAATAAACAAATTCAGTAAAGTTGCAAGATAAAAAAAAATCAATATATAAAAGTCAGTTGTGTTACTATACACTAATAATGAATTCTCAGAAAGAGAAATTAAGAAAATAATCCCAGGGACACCTGGGTGGCTCAGTTGGTTAAGCACCTGCCTTTGGCTCAGGTCATGATCCCAGGGTGCTGGGATTGAGTCTCGCATCGGGCTCCCTGCTCAGCCAGGAGTCTGCTTCTCCCTCTGCCCCTCCCGCTGCTTATGCTCTCTCTCTCTCTCTCTGACAATAAGTAAATAAAATCTTAAAAAAAAAAGAAAGAGAAAATAATCCCAATCATAATAACATCAAAAAGAATAAAAGACCTTGGAATAAATCTAAGCAAGGAGGTAAAAGACCTGTACACTGAAAATTATAAGAGGAAAGAAATTTAAGAAGACACAAATAAATGAACATGGATTGGAAAAATTAATATTGTTAAAATGCCCATACTATCCAAAGCAATTTACAGATTCAATGCAATCGTTATCAAAATTCCAATGGCATTTTTCACAGAAATAGAATATACAACCCTAAAAATTGTGTGGAACCATAAAAGACCCCCGAGCAGCCAAAGCAATCTTAAGAAAGAAGAACAAAGCTGGAGGCATCACACTCCCTGATTTCAAACTATATTATAAAGACATAGTAGGGTATTGGCATAAAATAGACACATACGTCAGTAGAACAGAATAGAAAACCCAGAAATAAATCCCATGCACCATTGGTCAATTAATTTATCACAAAGGAGCCAAGAATATACAATGGGGAAAGAACAGAGTCTTCAATAAATGGTGTCAGGAAAACTGGACAACCACATGCAAAAGAATGAAACTGGACCACTATCTTATTCCATACACAGAACTTCACTCAAAATGGATTAAAGACTTGAATATGAGACCTGAAACCATAAAAGTCCTAGAAGAAAACATAGGTGGTAAGCTCCATGACATCGGTCTTGAGTGATGGCTTTTTGGATCTGACTCCAAAAGCAAAGGCAACAAAAGCAAACAAACAAACAAACAAACACAACCAAGTGGGACTACATCAAACTAAAAAACTTTTGCATAGCAAAAGAAACCATCAATAGAACCAAAAGGCAACCTACTGAATGGGAGAAAATATCTGCAAATCATGTATCTGTAAGGGGTTAACATCCAAAATATTATTATAAAGAACTCATGCAACTCAATAGCAAGAAATCCAAACAATCCAATTAAAAAATGGGCAGAGCATCTGAATGGACATTTTTCCAAAGATATACAAATGGCAAATGGGTACATGCAAAGATGCTCGACATCATTAATCATCAGGGAAATGCAAATCAAAACCACAATGAGATATTACTTCATACCTGTCAGAATGGCTAAAATCAACAACACAAGAAACAACAGTTGTTGGTGAGGAAGCAGAGAAAAGGGAACACTTTTGCACTGTTGGTGGGAATGTAAATTGGTGCAGCCACTGTAAAAAAAAATATAAGGATTCCTGAAAAAATTAAAAATAGGGGTGCCTGGGTGGCCTAGTTGGTTAAGTGTTGCACTCTTGATTTCGGCTCAGGTCATGATCTCAGGGTTGTGAGATGAAGCCCCACATCAGGTTCAACGCTCAGGGCAGAGTGCTTGAGATTCTCTCCCTCTCCCTCTCCCTCTGCCCTCCTCCCATTCGCACGCATACCTCCCTCTCTCTCTCTAATAAATAAATAAATAAAAATAAAATCTTAAAAGAATTAAACATATAACTACCATACAATCCAGCAATTCTACTTCTGGGTATTTATCCAAAGAAAACAAAAACTAATTTTTGAAAAGATATGCATCCTTATGTTCATTGCAGAATTATTTTCAATAGCCAAGATATGAAGATAACCTAACTGTCCATCAATGGATGAACGAAAAAATAATGTGGTATGTGTATATATATATACACACACACCCACACACAGACACAGTGGAATACTATTCAGCCATAAAAAGAATGAAAATCTTGCCATGTGGAACAACATGGATGGATCTTGAGGGCATTATGCTAAGTGAAATGAGTCAGACATAGACAAATATCTGTGATCTCAGTTACATGTGGAATTTAAAAACAACAGCAACAACAAGCTAAGCTCACAGATACAGAGAACAGATCAGTGGTTGTTGGAGGCGGTGGGGTTGGGGTGGGAGAAATGGATGAAAGGGGTCAACAGGTGCAAATTTCCAGTTATAAAATAAATGTCACGGGGATGTAATTTACAACATAGTGACTATGGTTAATGGTATTGCATTGCATATTTACAAGTTGCTAAGAGAATAGGTCTTAAAAGTCTTCATCACCAGACTTTGTAAGTAAAAGTCTTCCTCACAAGACTTGGTTTTGTAACTATGTATGGTGACGGATGTTAACCATACTTATTGCAGCGATCATTTTACAATATATACAAATATTGCATTGTTATATTGTATACCAGAAACTAATACAATGTTATATATTAATTATACCTTAAATTGTTTAAAAAAACAAGCAATACAGAAAAGCCACTAATTTTTTATCATCCTATAACCATATTGTGAAATATTATTCTTGAAAAGTCAGAATCACTCTTTCATTTGGGCTGACAGCATTCTTTGTTGAAGAACACTAATCCTGCATTCTAGACACACAGAATCCTGTCCCTTCCCTGAGCTCTTACCATTCTTGCAGATGCTGATATTCAAAACTCCTGAGCCCAGGCAGTTTCCTTTAGGCACACAGAAGCCGGCATTGTCTGAGGTATTGGCTAGTACTTCTCCAGGCACCTTATACCGGAAGGCAGGCAGTCCCTGCACACTCTCAAAGTCACTGAAAGTTATGTACACTGATCTGGTAGGAAGTAAGGAGGAAAAGTCAGTGTGGGCTCTGGTCAGTGTAATCTGCCCCGAACCAGTAAGTTAACAACCGTTCTCAGGCACAACGTGGCTAAAGTTGATGGGGTATAGGTGGGAAATGAAGATGCAAAAGAAAGCTTGAAAGGAACTCACACCACTCGGTGCAGAAGAGGAATTATCATGAAAGATGTTTAAGAGGCAGCAACTGTAGTAACAGCCAAACCAGGCCAAGGGAAAAAAATGTGTGGTAGAAAATAAAGAGGACATTTAGGACAGAGACTCACCTGGAAAGAAGTAAAAGAGTCGTCCAGACCAGCACGGACACGTGCCGGTGTGGCCGAAGCAGAAGCAAGGGTAGGGCAGAGGCAAAGCAGAAGCAGAAAAGGTGGCAAAGGGCTCGGCCAGGTAGATGCGTAAGTGCTTGAAACGTGCCCCGTTAGCCAGACATTTGATCTGAATGTATACTTTGATACCCATTTCCCTCAAGTAAAAATAGTTTCCATTTTGGAATTTATTACAATGTTTATTATCTCAGTCATTTATCTCAATGGAGTTTGACGTAATTTTGGCATCAGTCCTTACGGAGTTTCAAACAGTGGTCCCATGTACTACTAACCACCCTTGTATTTGCACATCCTGAGCGACAGACCAAAGCACTTTCACATACACTGTCTCAAGTGATCCCTCAGCCCTTCAGTTGAAGGCCAAAGCGAACTGCTTTCTGGGTCTGGCTATTTTCATCTTTGAACCAGAGGTGGGACACGTCTCTTGCAGGGTTGTGAATCACATGGGAGCTGCCTTCTACTCACGTCCCACCCCTATAGCATTTTCTAAATAAAATTTTTTAGGCAAACAGAAAAGTAGAGAAAATACCATAATAAATACCTTTTAAAACAAATACTACTCAGATAAATAAAAAGGATAGTATGGATACAACTGCAGCTCTCTGTATAACACTTCTTTCTTTTTTAAAGATTTTATTTATTTATTTGAGAGAGAGAAGGAGAGAATGAGCAAGAGAGCACAAGCAGGGGGAGTGGCAGAGGGAGAGGGAGAAGCAGACTCCCTGCTGAGCAGGGAGCCCGATGCGGGACTCGATCCCGGGACTCCAGGATCATGACCTGAGCCGAAGGCGGACGCTTAACGACTGAGCCACCCAGGCACCCCTGTATAACACTCCTGATTCCAGTCCTTCTCTTGAGTCCCCAGAGGTAACCACTGTCCTGAACTTGGGGTTTATCCTTCCCTTGCAGGTCTGAATCCTTTCACAAATGTGCACATTCATAAACAATGTGTGGCATGGTTTGCTATTTTTAAATGTTATATAAAACAGTATGCCATATTCTCTTCCTGTAATTTGCTTCTTCATTCAATATTACATTATTAAGATTTATAACATTACATTGTCTGGTTCTTGTATTTTAAATCTTATGCAGTATTCGATCATATGAATACACCACGATTTATTTATATTCTCCTTTTTACAGAGACTTAGGTTGCTTCCAATTTTCCACTACTAAAACCACGTTGCAATGAACTTTTCCGTGTAAGTCTCCTTACAGGTCTACACAAGGGTTATTCGGGCCAGGGAACTGATGCAGAACAGTGAGGCACCATGGCGTTTGCACATCCTCAGCTTTACTAAACATTGCCAAATGGCCCTTCAAAAGTGCTCGTGTCGGGGGCACCTGGTGGCTCAGTTGGTTAAGCGACTGCCCTCGGCTCAGGTCATGATCCCAGGGTCCTGGGATCGAGCCCCGCATCGGGCTCCCTGCTCGGCGGGAAGCCTGCTTCTCCCTCTCCCACTCCCCCTGCTTGTGTTCCCTCTCTCGCTGTCTCTCTCTCTCTGTCAATTAAATAAATATTTTTTTTAAAAAAGTGCTCGTGTCGGATAAAAACATGTTTCCTCCGCACCAAATCTTTCAAAAAGCCTCCTATGGTGCTTCTAGGTTGCCTTGTTTCACTTGCTGCATTCAAATGCATTTTCTGACCCTTCTGTCCTCCCCCAAATATGTACGGGCGAGGGCAGCCAGCCAGAGAGGGACTGTGGTAGTCTGTGGGGGCGCTGGGACGGCTGGGAAGCATGGCAAAGCAGCAGGGACGGAGAGGTGGGGGCCGATGCAAGAGCTCTTCCTGAGGAGGCATCCCAGCATCTGGTAGCAGAGTCAATGCAGGACAGCGGGGAGATTTATAATGCCACCACTCTTCCTGGCAGGGCTGACTGGGTAGGCGGTGCAATTATGTGAGCTATGAAACACCAGAAGAACAGCCATTCTTCAGCATATTGAATCAACAGTGTCAAATGCGACTAAGTCACTTGGGACTTTAAGGAGTTTCATGAAAAGGCTTGTCGGGGTAAGTAGGGAGGATGTAGAGATGGTGTGAGTCAGCCATTCATTCAGGCAGTTTGAGGGTGAAGAGCGGAGTCAGGCAGTAGCTGATGAGGGGACGGGAATCAGGATGGAGAGCAGGATGCCTTCTTCCCAGACAGGAGCCATAATCATGAAGGAGCAGGCGGGAGAGAGGGAGAGCTCACAAGGCAAGTGGCAGCAGGTATGATCTAAGGGAAGGTGACAGCTCAGCAAATGCCTACAAACTCTGAACTAGGGACAACAGTTTGCTTTATCCTCTGTGTAGAGGTTACCTGTTGACTGGAAAGCCAGGTGAAGTATCATGCTTGACAGAGCATATCATAATAACTCAGAGCCATCATTTAATTTTGTTTACTGTTTGACAAGTCCTGGGCGAAGTATTTTACTAACAGTAACGCATTTGTCCTCATAACAACTCCCAAGGTAGGCAACAATTTCAATCTTTATTTTACACATGAGGAAAGTGAGGCACAAAGTGCTGAATAACTTTCCCAAGGTCACACAGCTTTAAGTGTCGGGGCTGGTGTTCAAATCAACCAATGCAGTCACGCTCTGGATCCCGTGCCTTGAACCACTATGCCACACTGTCTCTCAATATGCCATCAGCATTCGTCACTGATATTTTTTAAAAGATTTTATTTATTTATTTGACACAGAGAGAGAGAGAGAGCACAAGGAAGGGGAGCAGCAGAGGGAGAGGGAGAAGCAGGCTCCCTGCTGAGCAAGGAGCCCGATGCGGGGCTCGATCCCAGGCCCCTGGGATCATGACCTGAGCCGAAGGCAGACGCTTAATGACTGAGCCACCCAGGCGCCCCAGCATTTATCACTGATTAAGCAGAAATGTCCAGGCCTATGAAGGGTAGCTCCTTACATTCCTCACCCTTTTGGTCATCTTGCAGTCAAATAACTTATGTGGAAAGTTCTTACCTGCAAAATTCAGATGGGAAGACATAAAGAATTTCCTCTCTGTTTATTAACGGGTGAAAAGAATCTCCATCTGTTCCATTAATCATATTGCACTTATCTGTTGTCCACCAGTCAAGGGACCTGTAATTGATAAGCACAAGAAAGAATAGACTATCACATTTGATTTTAGATCTTTTCAGATGGTCAGGACTTTTCAGGCCTTAATTGGGAGCCAGCTACCCACAGAATCTTATTCATACGCAGACACAGGGGGGATGCTGGTTAGGAATTAGATCAAGAGGGGTCAGAGTAGGCACCTGATCCCCAAATCAATTCTGATAGAGGCAACGTCCAAAAATCCCTCTTTCCTTCCTGCAAAAAAGAGTATCCTATGTAGAGGTTTAGAAATACCCATTTTATTAAAATAGTGATTCAATGTAGCATGAACAATAGCCTTGTCTGGAGCTAGCCCACTGACAGGAGAGCTCAGGATAGATATGTTCAGCTCTTGAGGAAGGAGCTGAGATGGCAGAGTAGTAGGAGGACCTATGATTGCCTTGTCTCTCAAACACAGCTAGATAAATATCAAATCATTCTGAGCACCCAGGAAATCCATCTGAGGACTGAGAGAACAAACTGCACAACTAGAGGGAGAAAAGAGGCCACGTCGTGGAAGGTACGAGATGCGGAGACGTGATTTGGGGGAGAAAAGAATCTTCAGTGCTATGGAGGGGAGGGAGCCCCCGATCACAGAGAGAGAGAGAGAGAGGGCACAGGGTGCAGGTTATCACACAAGAAAAACACTTCCCTAAAACCACTGACGTGGAAAACGAGAGCGGTTGATTACTGCAAGTTTTTACAAGTGGCTGAGCTCAGAGACTAAAGTTCTAGAAGTCCATGCGATCATTGGGGGAAGCCTGGTGGGTACAGAGGTGCTCCTGTGGAGAAGAAGGGCAGAGGCCTGGGAGCAGACAGTGTGGTCGGAAGATCCCCTGGGTCCCACTGGGAGAGACAGTCCCCCTTCTTGCAGTGCATGTGGGAGAGGTGGCACTGCCTCTCCAGGGACAAAAGAGCCAGCGGGTGCCATTGAGCTGTCCAATTCATTAGCATAGGAGCAGAGATGTCTGCTGCGGGCCGCTAACCTGGCTGTGGGCTTTTTGCTGCGCTTTGCCATGAACTCCAAGCCCCTGTGTATTCGTGTGACTGCCCTTCTGGGACAAACCGGCACCAGCCACAGTGTGGCAAGATCCCAGAGGATCAGCGCAGGTCGATGCCATGCCGGGTCCCTAAAACTTGCAGTTTTGAAAACCAGTTGGCGGGCCTGAGCTAAGACACAGGAGTACTGCGCCGTCAGATGGGCAGATGGCTCAGACACAGGGTGAAAGCAAGGGTCAGAGGGAAGCCTGGGACAAATGACGGGAGAGTGTTTGCTCTTCTGGGAGGGCTTCCTGAGCAACGGCGGTGCAAATTCCCCTTTGGGGATGAGACAGCAGGCTGATGCTCTTTTTACCCCTGCTCATCAGCACAGACGGACTTCAGCGAGCAGCACCACAGTGGAGGCTTGAGCTGCTTACACCAAGCCCCACTCCCCTGCGCTCTGCAGGTGCTTCTAAACCAGCGCAAGGGTGCCTGAAAGTCAGAGAAGCAAGGGGCCCTTCTCCCAGAAGACCAGCATAAATCCCCTCATCCACCAAGTCTACTGACCACAGAGCAGTGCAAAGCTTCAGCTCTAGGGGAAATAGGATCTAGCCTCTCTTATTAAAGAGCAGAACAAAACACACCTAGTTAAAGCTCACCACACACTGGACAAGGTCCAAATACTCCCCACTGCAGGCAAGGAGAAACTCTGCAGAGGCCTGACCTGAGGGATAGAGCAGCCAAAACACAACAGCAGAGTGCACACAGCATACACCAGAAACACTTCCCGAAGCGCCAGGCCCTGGACAGTAAAGGAGCTCTTCTCAATATAGACATTACTCTCAGGAGCAGGAAACATAAGAGGCTTTCCTAACCCATAGAAGACAGAGACCCAGACAAAAGGCCAAGATGGAGGAGTTCATCCCCAATAAAAGAACAAGAAGCAGTCATGGCCAGGGATCTAATCAACACAGATATAAGTAATATGCCTGAATCAGAATTTAAAACAACAATCCATAAGGATACTAGCTGGGCTTGAGTAAAGCATAGAAGACATCAGGGAGTCCCTTACCACAGAGATAAAAGACCTAAAAACTAGTCAGGCCAAAATTAAAAATGCCATAACCAAAATGCAAAACTGACTGGATGTAATGACCACAAGAACTGAAGAAGCAGAGGGACAAACAAGTGATATAGAAGATAAAATTATGGAAAATAATGAAGCTGAAAAGATGGAAAGAAAAGTGTTGGATCATAAATGTAGACTTAGGGAACTCATTGACTCCATAAAGTATAATAACATGCGTATCATAGGAGGCCCAGAACAAGAGAGGGAAAAAGGGTCAGAAGGTTTATTTGAACAAATTATAGCTGAAAACTTCCCTGATCTGGGGGAGGAAACAGACATCCAAATTTAGGAGGCAGAGAGCACTCCCTCCAAAATCAACAAAAGCAGGCCAACACTAAGACATATCATAGTAAAATTTGCAAAATACAGGAGATAAGGAAAAAAAAAATCTGAAAGCAGTGAGGGAAAAAAAAAAAACCAACCCTAACCTACAAGGGTAGACACATAAGGTTCCCAGCAGACCTGTCCACAGAAACTTGGCAGGCCAGAGAGATGACATGATATATTCAATGTGCTGAATGGGAAAAATCTGCAGCCATGAATACCTTATCCAGCAAGGCTGTCATTCAGAATAGAAAGAGAGACAAAGAGTTTCCCAGATAAACAAAAACTAAAGGAGTTCATGACCACTAAACCAGCCCTGCAAGAAATACTAAAGGGACTCTTTGAGTGGGAAAGAAAGACCAAAAGCAACAAAGACTAGAAAGGAACAGACAAGATCTCCAGAAACACCAACTTTACAGGTAATACAGCTGCACTAAATTCATATCATCAACAATCACTCTGAATGTAAATGGACTAAATGTGCCAATCAAAAGACACAGGGTATTAGAATGGATGAAAAAAACAAGATCCATCAATATGCTGCCTACCAGAGACTCATTTTATTTTGTTTTACTTTATTTTATTTTTTCTATGCATGTGATATTTATTTATTTCCTCTGTAGTTGTATATTTATATTTATTTATTTATTTATTATTATTTTTAATTAACATATAATGTATTATTGGTTTCAGAGGTAGAGGTCAGTGATTCATCAGTCTTATATAATACCCAGTGCTCATTACATCACATGCTCTCCTTAATGTCCATCACCCAGGTACCCCATCCCTCCACCGTCCTTCCCTCCAGCAACCCTCAGTTTGTTTCCTACGATTAAGAGTAAGAGACTCATTTTAGACCTAAAGATACCTGCAGACTGAAAGTGAGGGGATGGAGAACCATTTATCATGCTAATGGACGTCAAAAGAAAACTGGACTAGCCATAGTTATATGAGACAAACTAGATTTTATTTATTTATTTATTTTTAAAGATTTTATTTATTTGACAGAGAGAGACAGCTAGATAGGGAACACAAGCAGGGAGAGTGGGAGAGGGAGAAGCAGGCTTCCCGCAGAGCAGGGAGCCCGATGTGGGACTCGATCCCAGGACCCTGGGATCATGACCTGAGCCGAAGACAGACGCATAACGACTGAGCCACCCAGGTGCCCCGAGACAAACTAGATTTTAAACCAAAGACTGTAACAAGAGATGAATAAGGGTACTATATCATAATAAAGGGGTCTATCCAACAAGAAGATACAACAATTATAAATATTTATGCCCCCAACTTGGGAGCACCCAATTATACAAATCAGTTAATAACCAACATAAAGAAACTCAGTGATAACAATATAGTAATAGTAGGGGACTTTAACACCCCACTTACAGCAACAGACAGATCATCTAAGCAGAAAATCAACACGCAAACAATGACTTTGAATGACACACTGGATCAGATGGACTAAATATATATTATATAAATATATATATATTACATATTCATCCTAAAGCAACAGAACATACATTCTTTTGAGTGCACATGGAACATTCTCCAGAACAGATCACATCCTGGGTCATAAATCAGGCCTCAACAAGTACAAAAAGACTGAGATCATACCATGCATATTTTCAGACCACAACACTATGAAACTTGAAGTCAACCACAAGAAAAAATTTGGAAAGACCTCAAATACATAGAAGTTAAAGAACATCCTACTAAAGAATGAATGGGTTAACCAGGAAATTAAAAAATACATGGAAGCAAATGAAAATGAATACATGATAGCCCAGTACCTTTGCGATGCAGCAAAAGTGGTCCTAAGAGGGCAGTATGTAGCGGTACAGGCCTATCTCAAGAAGCAAGAAAAGTCTCGGGACGCCTGGGTGGCTCAGTCGGTTAAGCGTCTGCCTTCGGCTCAGGTCATGATCTCAGGGTCCTGGGACTGAGCCCCGCATCCGGCTCCCTGCTCAGTGGGGAGTCTGCTTCTCCCTCTCCTTCTGCCCTGTTCCTGTGTTCTCTCTCTCTCAAATAAATAAATAAAATCTTTAAAAAAAAAAAAGCAAGAAAAGTCTCAAATACACAACCACCTTACACCTAAAGGAGCTAGAAAAGGAACAGCAAATAGAACCTAAAGTCAGCAGAAGGAGGGAAATAATAAAGATTAGAGCAGAAATAAATGATATAGAAACAAAAAAAGATAGTAAAACAGATCAATGAAACTAGGAGCTTGTTCTTTGAAAGAATTCATAAAATTGATAAACCCCTGGCCAGACTTATAACAAAGAAAGAGAAAGGATCCAAATAAATAAAATCATGAATGAAAGAGGAGAGATCACAACTAACACCACAGAAATACAAACAATTATAAGAGAATATTATGAAAAATTATATGCCAACAAATTAGGCAATCTGGAAGAAATGGATAAATTCCTAGAAACATATAAGCTACTAAAACTGAAACAGAAAGAAATAGAAAATTTGAACAAAAACCATAACCAGCAAAGAAATTGAACAAAAAATCTTCCAACAAACAAAAGTCTAGGGCCAGATG